AAAAATTAGTCTTTAATTGCACACAAGATATAAATTATCACTTGAATCTTTAATATTTAATTTTCTTTCAATCTTAGTACATATTTACCAAGTTTAATTTTCTTGAAATATTTTGGCTCATCTGGAGGCATGCAGCTTTAAACAGAAAAATGAAAAATAACTGTACACTTCAGTCGAGTAACAAAAATTTAAGTTAGAATCCTGATAAAAGAAAAATTCAGTAATTTTGTGTCTTTTTTTGTAAATTATATATTGATACACTTAAACACATATTAGTATTTTACCACTCTTTAGTTAATAAGAAAAATTAAGGAAGAGGGGGAAAAAAAGAAAACATACATGGAGAAACCATTAGAAATATCTTTTGAGATATGTTATAATTAGCCAATTAGCGGAAATAAAGAAATGTATAAACAAATGTTCCAGTTCTCAGAGCTTTCAGGTGTCTGTCTTGTGTGAAACAGGAAGTTTTTACCATTAATTAACTGACTAATTACTGGCAGCTTCTATGCTATAAAGGTCTGAACAGGGGGGAAGGTTAACATACAGGGAGAGTGTGAAATTATTATTTATCACTCTTCAAAAAAGATATAAAAAATAAATAGAGAAAACAACAGGATATCTGTAAATAGAATATAAATAAATCTTTATTTTCTCTCTCTTTAGAAGAATGTCAAGTGTTAAAAGTACATGCTGCCTCTAAGTGAGTAAACAAATTAAAAAAAAAATCCAAGTTTTTTGACACACATAAATATTAAGAAATCATGTGATTTTATGCATGTTGAAGGAAGAATATGACTAAATGTACATTTCTTATGTCCATTTTTCTACCTTCTTACTTTAAGAACAGTTTGTTTGGTTTTACGGCACACCAACAAAGTTTATGTCATATGGGGCCGAAATAGAAAAGTATTATGGCTGCTTTTTTATATGTATATTTAACTTGATACATAGATACATAATATATAATTTTTAGGACAGTAAATGCCTCTTGCTAATTAAAATCACTTTATTTGTTTACTTGAAACAAGTTTTAAGTATTAAAGGAACTCAACTAAGGTCCAAAAGCCTAAAAACATAAATTTTGAAATTCTTACATAGACCAATTAGATCACTTTAAACAGGAAGATATATAATAGATAATTAAGGAATAAACTCAGGAATAAATTTAAAATCTTATTTTTGTGCTATTCTTAGCCCAATTTGAGATCATTTTACATGTTGGTTTTATCATAAGTTTTACTTTACCCAAGTATGAATCAAATCCATCAATAATAAATATTTTGACCTTCAAGGTCAAGGTCATCTATGAGATCTTGTCCAAAATTTTGTTGTGTCCAATATGAGACAATCCATTCACTTTTAACAAAGATGAAGCCAGTTACAGCAAATATGCAAAATTCTATTAGTCCTTCAAGGTCAAGGTCATTTATGAGTCAAGGTCAAGTTCAGTTCTATCAAAATGGTTTTTTTGTGTCCAAGCATGAGAACAATCAAAGGAAGAAAAATTATTACAATTAATGTTTTCCGATGACAATGGCAACATCAGTGATGTTATGATTAAAACAGAAGCTCAAATTTTTTCTATGAAAAAGTCGAGCAAAAAATGATAATTGTCTTTTGCAAGATATGACTTATAGCATCTACTAAAACAATTTGGTAAGAAAAAACTCACTCTGGCAAGAAATATACAAAATATCGATTTGACAGTGATGAGCAATTATTTTCATGTTTGTATATCTTTGCAAATGAAACAATCGAGAATTAGTACAATAAACCAATTTTGTTGTCTGGGATACATATATTTCAAGTGGTTGCCAAATTGTTAACTTATCTCAAGATTTGAAGTACAACAAGTTACCAAATTTAAGTCTTAGAGAGTAGTTATTGAATAGTCTAATTTTGCAATCCAGTATTCATAAACATTTTTTTTTTTTGGGGGGGGGGGGGGGGGGGGGTGGGGGTTTGGGGTCAAGACATATTAAATACCCATATTCATGTTATTGTCCTATTGCATCAGCTCATGGCCATTGTAAATTAACTTTAAACCTGCTGCCAACTACTGAATCTTCCCATACAAACAGTGCAAGCCAAGATCAGGCCTACACCTGTGCTGTCTGATCATGGTCTGCCCTGTTTGCTATTCAGTCTATACTACATTTTTTGCAATTTTCTCCTAAATGGATGAATGGTTTTGTCCAGACTGAAAGATGGACTGGTCCATTTAATATATTTATCATGGTAAGAGTTAATACATGAGACGGACTCCTTTCCACTTTGGAACTATGTTAATTTTCTTTTGGCAATTGCATACTAAAATTTCATATCTGCTCTCGTGTCTTTGGCAATTGCATACACAGTACTTATTTTTCGTCTTCACTGTTATTTACTGTAGAATAAGTATCTTTCCTTATGGTCATTGCGTGGACCATTTGACACTTAAACAAGAGGGCCATGATGGCCCTAAAGTCGCTCGCCTCTATATAGGCCCCCGGAGCGGGGCCAGTTTAAACCCCAGGGCTTTTATTTGAACAAACTTGGTAGACACTAATTAGAAGATGTTTCATGCTAAACATCTAAGGTCTAGCTTGTTGAGTTTTTTAAAAGAAGATTTTTTCAAGTTTTTTTCTTTACACATATAGTTAAAAACAATGACACACCTGGGGCAGGGCCAGTTTTGACCCCAGGGCTTTTATTTGAACAATCTTTGTAGACACTTACTAGACAATGTTTCATGCTTAATATCTGAACTCTAGCTATTCATGTTTTTTCAAAGAAGATTTTTAAGTTTTTGCTATACACGTATAAGGAAAATCAATGTCCCCTGGGACGGGGCCAATTTTGACCCCAGGGCTTTTATTTGAACAAACTTTGTAGACACTCACTAGAAGATGCTTCGTTCTTAATATCTAAACTCTAGCTATTTGAGTTTTTTCAAAGAAGATTTTGTAAGTTTTTGTCATACACATATAAGGAAAATGAATGACCCCTGGGGCGGGGCCAATTTTGACCCCAGGGCTTTTATTTGAACAAACTTGGTAGACACTCACTAGAAGATGTTTCATGCTTAGTATCTCAACTCTAGCTATTTGTTTTTTTTTTCAAAAAAGACCTTTTAAGTTTTTGTTATAAACATATAAGGAAAATGAATGACCCCCGGGGCGGGGCCAATTTTGACCCCAGGGCTCTTATTTGAACGAACTTGGTAGACATCCATTAGAACATGTTATATGCTAAATATCTTAGCTCTAGCCTTTTGCATTCTTTAAAAGAAATTTTTTTAAGTTTTTACTATATGCATATAGGGAAAATCAATGACCCCCTGGGGCGGGGCCAATTTTGACCCCTGGGCTTTTATTTGAACAAACTTGGTAGACACCCATTAGAAGATGTTTCATGCTAAATATCTTAGCTCTAGCTCTTTGGGTTCTTTAAAAGAAGATTTTTTAAGTTTTTACTATATGCATATAGGCCAATTTTGACCCCAGGGCTTTTATTTAAACAAACTTGTTAGACACTCACTAGAAGATGTTTCATGCCAAATATCTAAGCTCTAGCTCTTTTGTTTTTTTAGAAGAAGATATTTAAAGTTTTTCTTTTGGTTGCCATGGCAACCAGAGTTCTGCATGGAATGGAATTCTTTGAACAACTTTGTTAAGGCTTCACACAAGGAACATCCCTGTGAAGTTTCATTATGATCTGCCTTATGGTTTCAGAGGAGATGTCGTTTTAAAAGTGTGAACGGACAATGTACGACGTACGATGGACGACGTACGACGGACGAAGAGTGATCCTAATAGCTCACCCTGAGCATATGCTCAGGTGAGCTAATAAAATAATTGAATTCATTATGTTTTTGTTTATACTTAAAATACTTAAAATGTTTGCTCAACGGTATTGTTGACCTTATGTCATATTGGAAACAGTCTTATATTAATAGGCTAACACAGTGCTTTATAATTTAAAAAAAATTCTATGTAAATAAGTATAGTTCAACCTCTGGAGAGCAACAACCTCTGGAAGATAAATATTTTGGTTGCTGTGGAGAGGCGATTGCTCTACAGAGGTTAAAATTTATTGTGAATCAAAATACATACTGTTGTAGTAAAGAGGTGCTTGCTTTACAGAGGCACTGCAGGTGCGTGTACCACTTTTTTTGCTTTATATATCCATTTCTGAAAAAAAAATTAAATTGTCTCCTCAGAAGTAAAGATTATTTATTAGTAAGGGATACTATTCTTATCATGATTTCTTCATAATAAATCCATCCTCATCCTTTTATTCTTATACACAACTGCAATTCTTCAACAAAAGGAAATTTGTTTGGACTTTGATAACATTCTATATAAAGTTAAATTCTTTCTTAGACTAAATGCACTGAGAAATTATCTTAAGATCTCTTTAAATTGATTGGTGTTTTTCCTTAAATTAAAGTGACATAAAAGATTACAATAATTGTGTACAAAACTGTCTTAGACAGTTATTATTGCCGTTTCAAAATAATCAACAATAATTTCTTTTAATTTTCATCATTTCTAATATAAAACGTCATAAAGCATCTGAAACTACTCTGTTTTAAACATGGTTCCATTATTACATGACAAACTTATCCAGCTTGCTTACAGAAGGTTAATGTGTCTATCCAGGCAGGGGCTTGTGCTTCGAAGCATGTACAAAATATTGAAATAGTTATAGACAAAAGATAGATTTATAAATATAGATTGTAAGCTACCTAACCCCAGTGTTCCTTGAACCCTCCCTACCAGTACCAATCATCTGTTCTATAACAGTACCAACCATCTGTTCCATACCAATCATCTATTCTGTAACAGTACCAATAATCTGTTCCATACCAGTACCAATCATCTGTTCTATAACAGTACCAATAATCTGTTCAATACCAGTACCAATTATCTGTTCCCTACCAGTACCAATAATCTGTTCTGTACTAGTACCAATCATCTGTTCCATACCAGTACCAATTATCCATTCCATAACAATCATCTGTTCCATACCAGTACCAATCATCTGTTCCATACCAGTACCAATCATCTGTTCCATACCAGTATCTATCAGCTGTTCCATACCAGTACCAATTATTTGTTCCATACCAGTACCAATCATCTGTTCCATACCAGTACCAATTATCTGATCCGTTCCAGTACCAATCATCTGTTCTCCCAAAATATACTGCCCTCTTTCCCACTTTAATCAGTGACCCATATAGACAGCTTAAAACTTATCTGCCATCAAATCTTCTAACCAATGATTGGCACACCAGAGGGTTCAAACTAAAAAAAATCCAAGGCCCAAAGACCTTTTGGCTCGACCCATATGTAATAAGTTTGGAAAATCTGCATCTCCCTTGAAATGGTATAGTCTTTAACTTAGTAAGAATGACCTACAATACAGACCCCATTCTTATAATTACTGTTAAATGAGCGGATATCATCCCACACATACCCTCTGTGCATCATTTCAAGACTTTATCAAAATCTTATCGGCCAGTAGCTGGAAAGATGACCTCGAAATGACCCTTGTCCTGGACTAATCTAAAGTGGTTCGGTCATTTGCTATAATTAATATTTTCACAAATGCTGGGAAAATCTCATTAATGTGCAGAAGTATTATCATCAGTGTTTGTATTTTTGTTTCTCATCAAAGAATCAAACGGTCAGCGGTCATTGAATGAACAGCATGGCCAGTGGTCACTTTGCAAGACAGGAAACAGATAATCTTACAGTCTTATTAATGTTAATTTCTTGATCAAACAAGATGGGGGATAAATGTAGAATAATAATTACTTAGATAAAAAAAGAGATCTGAGACTACTGAGAGTAATGACTCTGTTTACCTAACTTTATTTCTTCAGATATATTGTCGAGGATATTGGAATGTTTACATCATGATCCAATCCCATGTAATGTGTGACCAAATCAGATTTGGTGAATTTAAAATAGTCCTATCCCTCAAATTCTTCTCAACTGTCATCATCTGAAATAATAAGAATTAAAACCTTATTGATACATAATAAATCATCTTATGCAAAATGATACATTTCTTATTCATAGTGATACCAAGAAGATAAAGTATTCAAATAATGTCAAGCTGTTCAAGACAGTTTTTTTTTTAATTTATACAAAGTTAGTCATAGCAGCATTTTTTGTTAATATTGGAAATGATAAAAAGATATTCTCAAAAAAAAAATGCTTTCAGAGCATCAAAAACAACAAACATCAAAAAACACACAGTTTACAGTGGCCCTTGCCTTTCACATTTTTAAGTGGCCCTTGTCTTTCACATTTTATAGTAGCCTTGTCTTTCACAGTTTATAGTGGCCCTTGTCTTTCACATTTTATAGTGGCCCTTGTCTTTCACATTTTATAGTGGCCACTGTCTTTCACAGTTTATAGTGGTCCATGTCTTTCACAGTTTAAAGTCGCCCTTGTCTTTCACATTTTATAGTGGCCCTTGTCTTTCACATTTTATAGTGGCCTTTGTCTTTCACAGCTTATAGTGGCCCAGGTCTTTCACACTTTATAGTGGCCCTTGTCTTTCAAAGTTTATAGTGGGCCTTGGCTTACACAGTTTATAATGACCCATGTCTTTCACATTTATAGTGGCCCTTGTCTTTCACATTTTATAGAGACCCTTGTCTTTCACAGTTTATAGTCGCCCTTGTCTTTCACACTTTATAGTTGCCCCTGTTTTTACACATTTTATAATGGCCCTTGTCTTTCACAGTTTAAAATGGCCTTTGTCTTTTACAGTTTATAGTGTCCCTCTTAATTTACAGTTTATAGTGGCCCTTGTCTTTCACACTTTATAGTGGCCCTTGTTTTTACACATTTTATAATGGCCCTTGTCTTTCACATTTTATAGTAGCCCTTGTCTTTTACAGTTTATAGTGTCCCTCTTCTTTTACAGTTTATAGTGGCCCTTGTCTTTCACAGTTTATAATGGCCCTTGTCTTTTACAGTTTATAGTGTCCCTCTTCATTTACAGTTTATAGTGGCCCTTGTCTTTCACAGTTTATAATGGTCCTTGTCTTTTACAGTTTATAGTGTCCCTCTTCATTTACAGTTTATAGTGGCCCTTGTCTTTCACAGTTTATAATGGCCCTTGTCTTTTACAGTTTATAGTGTCCCTCTTCATTTACAGTTTATAGTGGCCCTTGTCTTTCACAGTTTATAGTGGCCCTTGTCTTTCACACTTTATAGTGGCCCTTGTTTTTACACATTTTATAATGGCCCCTGTCTTTCACACTTTATAGTGGCCCTTGTTTTTCACATTTTATAGTAGCCCTTGTCTTTTACAGTTTATAGTGTCCCTCTTCTTTTACAGTTTATAGTGGCCCTTGTCTTTCACAGTTTATAATGGCCCAAGTCTTTCAAACGTTATAGTGGCCCTTGTCTTTCACATTTTAAAGTGGCCCTGTCTTTCACAGTTTATAGTGACCCTTTACTTTCACAGTTTATAGTGTCCCTCTTCTTTTACAGTTTATAGTGGCCCTTGTCTTTTACATTTTATAGTGGTCCTTGATTTTCACACTTTATAGTGGCCATTGTTTTTCACACTTTATAGTGGCCCTTGTCTTTCACAGTTTATAGTGGCCCTTGACTTATACTTTTTTTAGTGGCTCTTGTCTTTCACATTTTATAGTGGCCCATGTTTTTTCACACTTTATAGTGGCCTTTGTCTTTCACTGTTTATAGTGGCCCTGGTCTTTCATAGTTATAGTGGCCTTTGTCTGTAAGTTTGTAGTGACCATTGTCTTTCAGTTTATAGTGGCCTTTGTCTTTCACATTTTAAAGATGCCTTTGTCTTTCACAGTTTTTAGTGGTCTGTCACACTTCACAAGGGACAGAGTCATTTGGGACCTAGTCCTTTAACAGTTCATAAGGGAATGTATTTTTAACAGTTCAAAAGTGGCTAGTATTTCACAGTGGGGAGATTGATTGGTTTACACAATAGGAAATGTTGGCCCTTCACTGTTCATAAGAGAGCTGATCTTTTACATTTCACATCTGGCACTTAACAGTTCTTAAGGGAACTCTTACTAGTAAAGCTCAGTATAGTGCCCAATTACTTTTTTCTTCATAATTCATATTGACTTTGATTCTTTAAAATTCATGTTTAAAATAATGAGACATGACCTGTAAAATTTATAACAAGACCATCATATATGGACCATTTCAATATATATCAGGACCATTTCTGTATAAAGCTCACACCAGCCTTGGTCTTTAAAAGTTCTCCTGCACCTAAAGCCCAGACATAAATAATGATATCAGGGTTGGTCTTTAAAAGTTGTATATATTTCATATATATTTCATCTAATTGCAAGTGTGTGGTTCAAAGATATTAAGAGAAAGTAAACATATGGTATACTGATAAACACAGATGAGTGAAATCCAATTAAAAATATTAATGGGGTATATATTTAATTGAGCGCTTAAAGTAAACATCCCCTTACTACAATAGTCATTAGTCAAAATCACAGGACTGTGTGAAACTTTTTTTTAATTCTTTATAATTCTTTTCATGTTCAAAGGGAGTTTGATGGAGGTCGTATTGACCCTTTATCTAAAGAAGATTCTATCTACGAAGAGGGCTCAATGCAAGATAAGGCAATTTCGCCCTAACCTACAATATTTGCCGAGTCATCAGTCAGATGTGAAAATTACTGTCAAATTGTAATCAAATTTTATCAAAAAAATCTGCAGAAAACTGGAAATTTATGATAATTAATTAAAGAGAAGTTGGGTTAGTCACATGACCCCAGTATGACCAATGTCAGATGAAAGGACATTTTTATGTCTGATCAAGATGTGATAATTGGTGATTATCAATTATAAACTAATTATCATTTATCAGAAAGCTAAAACTTTTCACCTGAAATTAATCTTTCCTGTCATTTTTGCTCCTTTCAAAACATTTTATTTTCCTTTCAATGAATCTGAAATGGAGATTTAAACATCCATTATAGTACACAATAAGTTTTGTTACTTTGCAAAGTCATTCAATATAATATCAATTTACTTATTATTAAATGAGAAGATCAGAATTTATAAAATTTTACTGAAATTTTCAAACAGATGTAAAATGTGAATAATTGAATTTATTTTACTATTAACCCCCAACCTGCTTGCAGCAACTGATCCCACCCATGAGACCAGTGCCGACCAAGACCATGTTAACATGAGTCTTTTTTTTCCTTATCTTTTTCTAAGTACACAAACTTGTCTGTATGTGCACAAACAAACATGTCTGTAAGTGTACAAACATGTCTATAAGTGTACAAACATGTCTGTAAGTGTACAAACATGTCTGTAAGTGTACAAAAAAATCTCTGAAAGCGCACAAATATGCCTTTAAAAGTGCACAACAACCTTCCTGTATGTGCCAAAAAAGTCTTTCTTAAATTATATCAAGAAAAGTTTGAACCAGACAAAAAAAATATTAAAATGTAATTTAGTTTGCATGTTTTTGTAATAAGTGAACACTTATTTTTGAATTTTTATTTTAAATGTCTGAACGCCAATACAAAACTAGTAAAAGCAAACAGTTAATTATTATAGAATTCATAATATAATGTTACGCTCCTTCCACTTTGTGATTTTTTCTCTTCATTTTACAGACCTGACCAAAAGGTGCTAACTCTTACATTGACACGAACATTTAATTTATAATTCTTTAAGTGTAACACTACTATTTTCATAAAAGATTTAGAGAGGTGGAGAAATTGTCAGAGAGAAAAAAAACCTGTATAAGTGCCTTTGCTTTTTCTCGCCCTTCTCTCGCAACCTGCCAGTGCACTAATCAAAGAGATTAATTTCTGAGAGAACAGGAGCTTTATACAAACCATTTGGACCTTGATGAAATAATTCTGTAAACAAAACAAGCTGCTCTCTTAACCTTAGATGACTTTTAATCAAATTAATGATGAAATCTGAGCTCCGACTTTGGAGATTCTTTCTGTATGTGAACAGCTTATCTGCAGTGAGGAGGCCTTTAATGATCTCTTGATCTCCGTAGAAATTATAAATGTTTGCTACCAGTCTATCTATTCAGACTGTGTACTTTGTGTTTTTAAAGGAACTCAACTGAGGGCCAAAAGCCTAAAAAGTATAAAATTTGAATATCTCACATGGATCACCTGGGGCACTTCAATCAGAGAAATATGCAAAAGATAATAATAGAAATAAATGTAATAAGGAATATAGTCAGATTTCAATTGAAAATACTATTTTTGGAGTGATTTTTAGCCTGATTTGAGATAAAATGCTCTCCATTTTTGGGTTATTTTTCAACTATTTTGGAAAAAAACAGAGCAAGCAAATGATCTGAAAGATTACACGCAAGTTGTTGGTCAAGACGTACATCATATGGAAAAATTTTCAGTCCAATCATGCAGAAAAAACAACAACACTCAGTGGAGTGCCTTTAATAAGTGTTATTATTTATGCATTTTATTAGGGTGTTCCTTGTCTAATATTTAAGAATGAACCTGAATGCAAAAAAAAATGATATTGTATGATATGGCAAAAAATCACAAAAATTAAATTATGTAAATTGTTTTAAAGTGTTTCGAACTTTTAAAACAACCAGGCCTTGCTTTTCCGCTGAGTCAGAAATGATTTTTTTTGTTATAATTTACTCTAATTTCAAACCAAGGCAAAATTTCTAGATTTATCACATTTTATGCTTTTTTATTTATCTATATCATACATAAAAATTATCAGCAGTGTTTCTTTTTTCTTTTTTTTCCATTAATTTTTATGAAACATATCTATTCAACATATATTGCCAAAGAAAACTTTTCTTAAATATTTGCTTAAGAAATGTTTTAAAAGTAATTTTTTGTTCATTAATTAAATTTGCCATGTTTTGATGTTATGAATCTAATTAACGTCATAAATTAATTAAAAACTGAAGAAAAAAAATTAATTAAAAACTGAAAAAATAAATAAATAACTATAAAAAAAACCACACTATTCTTGAAAAACTGCAGATGGAAATTATTTTTTATTCATTACTTCAAACATTTATCAGTTTTATTAAAATATTTAATAAGCAATTTTCCTTCTCATTTTTTTTTTATACTTTTTTACCTTTATGTCATAATCAGAGAGCATCTTTACCCGCTAATAACATTAATCATGTTTCTAGAGCATATAAAAAACAATCTGTACAACCAAAATATCTGTTTAAGATATTATATATATAAAAAATATCTGTTGATATCTACACAGGAATCATAACAAAAATTATAAAACAGATAAAAAAATTCCAAAATGAAGATTTTCACAGCAACAACGAGGTATCTGTATCACTTTAAAGAATAAGTAACATCACTGTTGCATGACGTCCTAAAAATGTCAGGTCAACACATTTGATATAAACCATTCCCTGGAACTATAAATGACTTTGAAACAGGACTCTTAGAATCTTATTTCCTTTATTTAATTGTGTTAATTTTCTATTGCATACCCCCTACAGGTCCTTTTCTCTACCCACTGCTGGTTTAATAATTAACAGTTTCCCCTTTCCCCCAATTTCTTTCCACTATCTGATTTCTGTAATAAATTCTTCTCATAAATCACAGAGACTTGTGTTGCAGTGTGAACAAGATACTCTTCATACTGATATTTGCCATGATACAAGCTCAAATGTTTTTCTCTATAGTGCCAATATGAGTAAACCTGCCAAAAAATACCACAGTTTTCACTGACAAATTTATTAGGACTAAAGTAGCATTAATGACTTGTCTATATGTGTATAGAGCAAGGGCAACCTGTTCACCAAGTTCTGTACTGTGGGATGCTAAATGAGTTAGACCAACCTGTTCATCCATGCAGTTTGTCCAAGATGGTAAATTTCTTTAAACACTTAAATATTTGATGTTAAACCACAGACTAGAAATATGTCTGTATGTCACCTCCCATCCCCCTATATATGTTAGGACATCGAATAATAATTTGACACTGGAGGTCAGCATTTTTTAAAAATATTCACAAGGCCTTAATTTTAGAGTGACAGCATAGCACAAATGTCTCAGTTTATAGCTTGTTAAAAAAAGTTTAATAAGTTACAATTAATATATTGTCAAAGTAAAGCAATGATTATAATAATTGCTAGGATAACAAGAACTCATTACCCAAAACACCTTTGTCAACTGACTTTAAAATCCATTGATGCATAACAAGAGTTATTGACTAGATAAGATTTTCTACCTGCTAAACTTTAACCTCTAAGTGTGACCTTGACCTTGGAACTAGTCGTTTGGTCCTGCACATGACACACACTCTCTCGCCATACTGAAAATTTTTGCACAATTGTTTTAAAATCCCACTTATGCATGACAATATTATGGAATGGAAAATATTTTTTTATCTTCTTACCTTTGAAATGTAAGTGTGACCTTGACCTGGGAGCTTAGGGATCTAGGTCTTGTGCATGACACATCAACTCATCATGATTAACATTTGTGCCAAATTATTTCAACATCTACGTGTGACTTTGAACTTGAAGCAAGGGGTCTAGTTCTTACATATTAAACATCGTATCATCATACTTAACACTTGTTCCAAATTGTTTTAAAAGATTTCTAACTGCCGACCTTTGACCTATGAGAGTGACCTAGACCTTGGCATTCCTGGAATGGCCTTCATCCCTTTTTATTTTTAGCAACAGACCTAGAACACATGGATATTATAAAACCTACTACTTGTTGAAACATGGTTAGTTTATGCTTCTGTTTTCCATACACATTTGATGATACTAAACTCTTTATGTTTCATTATATATTATATAAATTCCTTTTGTTTTAAAGATTAAACTAGACAAAGTCTCATACAAATTTCAAGGAACATTGAAAATGCCATTTTAATGCTTAAATATTTGATAGATCTACTGTGGATTAGAAAAGCACTTAAGTTTATGCAAAAAAGTAGACCCCTCTAAATGGGTGAATTAGGAACCCAATTGATTTCTTATTTGCTTCGAAACAACATTTAACATGAATTACATGCTACAATAATAACATTTACCATAGACATTGACCCAAAGTAATATCTATAATGAACGAAGCATTTTCTTAATAAATAGCTTCGATCCAAGTTATAATTTCTAGGAGAACTAAGTTTTCCCTAATCAATGGCCGAGGCCCTTGTTATAATTGCTACGCATTATTCTCAATCAGAAAATCTGTCAGAATTCTATCAACATAGACAATGGCTAAATTACAAAAGAAAATGACAGTCCCTCAGCTAATCAATGTGAATTTTGCCCCATTCTTCATTTAGGATATTGCTTCAAATTGGGAGAAAGTACATGTTTTTATGGACTGGGAAATCATAAGTTACAACAGGCGTTTGTATAGAAAAATAAATGGATCTCTTGCCAAAACTTTGTCCGAAACAGGCCAATTTAGTCTGAAAATTGAATTGTTTCTGAGTCTTTATCATAAAAAGATGAATATGAAAGGATAATTATTCAAGTACCTTGATCTGAATTTTGTATTTCTCTGTACCAGTTGATTTTTGCCCAGCTAGCAATATAACAAAAACTAGCTGGTTTGAAATGCACAAAACACTAGCTTGCTATAAATGCACAAAACAGTAGCTTTCAAGAAATGCACAAAACACTATATATCTTGCTAGAAATCTAGAAATACACAAAACATTAGCTTGCAAAGAATACATAAAACCCTAGCTTGCTAAGAAATGCTAAAAAAAAGCTAGTTGGCTAGAAATGCACAAAACACTAGCTGGCTAGGAATACACAAAACACTATCAGGCTAGGAATGCATAAAACACTAACTGGCAAGGAATGCAAAAAACACTTTCTGGCTAGGAATGTACAAAATAAGAAAAAGCAAACTGTTGTATGGTCTGTTCCTTAAAATAGATGAAGAACATCTAAGATGATGGACTATCTTAAAGCTGAAATTTTTTTTTGATGTTTCATTTTTGAACTTTAAGTCACATCAACACTGAAAGATCAATTGGCAACTTTAATGATACAGGAATACCAAAGTTACCTCTCTGTGTACAGTATGTACCTTCGATTAGCTAGCTAGAGAGAATTTGCAACCTTGGAGTTTAAAAGCAACAGCAGTAACTGGCAAGAGGTATAAAATTAGTAACATTTACCTTTCAGCTGAATAGAAGACAAATAACAGCCAGGAAAAATGTGTCAATTTTATCTTCATAATAAAGCCAGGTATTGTTGCTACTTATTGCAACAGGTACTACATTTCACACTGAGCTAAAACCCAGCAAACCCTTGATTAGGAAACACCTTAGGACAAGGACCACCATTTGTTACTAATTTATTATTTCATTATAAAAAGTTTTAAAAAGTTTCTCAAGTTAATCTGTAAGTACAGTGGTAAGATACCTTAAATAAGACAGCATCATGTAACACACCATGTGACAGCCTGATGAAAGCCTGGGTCAAGTGTCAAAATTTTCTCCCCATTTCAATTATCTCCCTTTCTCCATCTCATCTCAACTGAATGTTCTGTGTACTGGCATTGTTTCTATAACAGGATGGTACAAACATGAAGACAACATCTTTCGGCTGGTTACAACTTTCTTCATCTTCATAGCAATTGCTGAATAAGGTAAGCTTTCCTTGAAATAACCTGTGTAATATAAAATATGACTATGATTTGAATATAAATCTAGGTATAGGTCATATCATGTTGTCAAGCTGTACGATAAAGGAAACATTCATGAAGCTTCTTTCAGTGCTATTTCTAACATTAATTAACTTTATTTCTAACATAAATCAACTTTATTTTTAACATTTTATAAATTTGGAAAGCTTGCCAATGGACAACTTACAACAGTGGATTCAAAACTATAATTTATCTGAAGCAAGTGTCTTCATTTATTTCCTTGGACAAAACTAGACTTTCTGAGGACTGAAATATGATGAAATAATTGTCTTAATTGTTTCTAAATTTCTTTAAAAATCTTGTGATTAATTGATGTTCACATGGTCATATAATTCTATGGTTTTATTTGTAATGGGAATTTCATTGGGACATGTTGCTGGATTTTTTTTTATTTTAGCTGGCACTTACTGTCAAATATTTTAAATGGACTTGTCCATCTTTTACTCCAGACAAACTATTTATCATTTTTAAGAAAAATTTCAAATATGCACTGACTGAATAACAAAGCAAATGCAGACCATGATCAGACATTATAGACGTACAGTCTGTACTGGTAGCATGGGTAGATTCAGTTGCTGTCATCAGACTAAGGTTTAGGACAAATTGTAGGTATAGTTGGGAATACAATATTTGGTATGTAACCTTGCACAGACCTCTGGTTGGGGCTGAGGACTTTGGCGTGATGTTCACTGGAGCTGATAAAAAGCTTTTTGTCTTTCTTTTTATGTATTTACTAATTTACTTATTTTGTTGGGTGTTACCTTGAAAGGACATCTACCCTTCGGTACTGAATCAGGTCAAAGTCAGAGGTGCTAAAAATAGATTTTTACTACTTGCCCTCAGTTTTGGTTTGTCAAAGTGACCTCAGAGATGATATTAATTATTGTCAATCATCGCCACCAAGATTTCTGTATCCATAAGGATTCAGTTAAAATGCATGAAAATTACTACTTTGAAAATGCTTTCAATCACCTTAATATACACCTTTAACACTTCAACGAGCGAAGTAAAAAATGCAAATTGTGACATATCTGACATCACATTTAATTAACAATACTGCATGATGGGAAATGTAAGGTGGCTACGTAACTAATTAAGGTAAAAGTAATTAACTCTATGAAGCGCATAAAAGCTCTGATCAATTTAATTAATTTCTTGGTTAATCAATGTTAACATGAGGCTTGATTGAACTGTCTGGGGTTTAATTACAAACGCCTTGATCACACTGAACAGGTATTGAGTCTGACATGCAAACTTTGCATAACTTGTAGCCTATTTGTTATGCAACTCTAACTTAAAGACTGCTTTATAGCAAACAAGCAGAGACAAGGTGTTTTAGGTGTCATTTGTTTATGGGCATAGGCATTATACGTTTTAAGATGCCATTGACTTGCATGTATGCAAAACATTGACCCATATCTATAAGTATTCAGCACAGCACTAATACAGGTGTTAAAGTTCGTAATCATTAAGCTCTAATGAAGGTGTAAATATTTTCAGCGCAGCACTGATACAATAGGTAATATTGTAAACACAGCACTGATTGCATTGTCATGGTATCAACACAGCACTTATACAAATGCAATCATTGTCAACTCAGCACCCTTATGTAGACATTATTGTCAACACAGCACTCTTTTACAAACCAAAATTTAAACACAACACAGTATAAAATATTGCCCTTAACTATTGTTAAATATAATGTACTGAACATACTTTTTCAATATTATATATATAAGCTTTAAGCATATTGCTGTCAAAATATTTTCTTAACACCAAACTGCTCACTGCATTCACAGCAATATGTTTCAAACATTCTGAATATAGCAGGAAAATACTACAAGGGAGGCTACTCCAAAAACTTTTCTAACTCTTGGTTTGGCCTAGGCATACACAATTAATTATAGTGTTCTTTTCCAATTATAAGCTTTTCACTTACATTTTAAATGTTTTACTATCTCAAAAATGTAAAGTTGGCTTTTTTTATCAACTGAAAATCAATTTTATTTACGTCTCTAACCTAAGAGTTATAAAAGATACTGAAAATTCATATAATGGTGATGTGCATTAAAGCATATTTGTATAATATCTGATCGTTTCTCCGCAATTTGCAATGAAACTGCCAAAAGATAAACAATATATTTGTGTGATACAGTGATTACTATGTTTGCCTTTTTCTCATAAAAATATCTTTTTAATCTATCTTCACAAGACCCATGTACCAGCGTCTTACTGATTAATTTAGCATGATTCGATGCTGGAGTCGTAATTAATATTTGTCAGAAATACAACCCATCAGTCAAGATAAAAAAACCGTGGCACAAGATTACTCCATCACTTAATTACGGCAAAGACTTATGTTAGATATTATGAAAACGTGTTTGTAAATTAACTTTTCTTATCGACAAAATTGAAGATTTCAAAATGAGTAAATATTCATTTAAACAGTAGGGTACCAGGAATATACGATTAAAAACGGGCATCTGTTTCGGCTCAAATGACAGATCACGGTATAAATAATAAAATATATCTGGATTACGACTTTGCGTCATTCGCTTATCAAAATTAACCTAATTATAACTAAAAGGTTTCCACAATTTTGCAGCATTTTTTAGATCATTGATTAAAATGTAAACTCCCCAAATAATAGCACATTATTTCTTATGAGCAGATAGAGAGATAAGAAAATTCCGACGGGCGCTAATTTTTGTTTTTTATGAAACTTTAAGCATATTTTGTCGCGAGAGCTTGTAACTGCATCTATCATTTGGTACCGTAATGTTATATTCGTTGTTTCATTAACACAATTTCAAACGCAAGATAAACGAGGATATAGGTAAAGTGGTCACAAGGGAACCGACAATTTCAAATGTTACTTAGATATTTCCATTTTCTTGGGGAATTACGACACCATCACAATATTTTTTCATTTCTTGAGGAAAAAACAACCCTTCTTGACACCCAACAAGTTGATATAAATGGATGCATTTACAAAATTCTTTTGCGGGTTTTTATAAAATGTTACATGAAATTTTATCAAGGGTCTTAAACGTCAGTCTAAGTCATTGTAAATTTCCATCTTAAGTGTTAAGAGAAGAGTTCTAGCAGTTTTAAACTTATCAATATTTCATAGACAAACGACAATGTGAGAATTGAAAGCCACCTTTGTAAAATTTAACCATTTTATTCCAACTAAAATATAGCGCCTTTAAAAGACAATAAAAAGTAGTTTTTGTAATTTTCTTCGTTTAACTGGAATGTTCAAGTTTTAAAGCTTCAATGGTGTAAACTTTAAGTCAAAGGTATGAACAATTTTTGTTGTCATCAATTTTATAAAGTGAATAAAAATCTATTTATATAAAATACGTGAATATTACACTAGTACATACTGCATGTTGCATGTTACGCTGTCCTTATTTGACTTACTCTTTACATATTAATCGTGTTTCTAAAACTGTTTTTAACTCTGTTCTTCATTGGTCCACAGACAAATTAGTCTTCCCAAAAGAGATAAGAATTCAGAATACAGTCAGGCTGTATACAGTTACAGAACAATTATGTACACATCTTAAATTTCAATCAAAGTATCTAGTCCATATATAAACTTAATAAGTACATTAAAACACACACACACACACACACTAAAATATTACTGTTGTTTGTAGCATTTTCATCTAATATAATCTAACGCGGATTCTGTCAATTTATGAAGTTATTTTCATTTTTTCCCCTCTCAAATTAAAGGAAATTTGCAGGATTACGTATAACTTCTAAACTTTTTCAGACAGGTTGAATGACTTTGCAGTTCAAGTAATATCACTTTAAAACAACAATTTTAATATACTGGGCCAAATAACCTGCCATAAATCTTTATAGTATTTATAACTAACATGAGCACAAGCCTTTATAATCACAAGGAAAGTGGCAGACCAAACTGCACCTCTTAGAATATAAACTTAGTACTTTAGTTCTTTAGGCTGCAACAGATTTGACATATTTGTCCATGTCATGTGACCATGGTCTGCATTGTTCCCTATACTGTCAGTATATATTTTGAAATTTTCCCTATAAATGAAGAGTGGTTTTGCACATACAAAGGGAAACAACTCTCACAAAAACAAAGGGAAACAACTCTAACAATGACAAAAACATCAAATGTTCTGTGTAGAATGTAAACAACTAAATGTTTAACAATATCTTCATATCAACAATCTTGGCAGTGCTTGTCTATATTTGTCTTAATTTTTTATGCATTATTATCATTGCTTTATCCAAATCAACACACTGAAATCTCAATCAAATTAATATATTACTCAATTGTTTGGAATTTTTGACTGCCTAAAACTATGGGTTTTTTTGTTTACTTAAAACCAACTTCCCTAAAAATAAAAATCAAACCCATGTTCCTACAGATAGATCAACTTGATTTTACGATTATATTCATAAGACAATGCCAGAGCTTACGTATGGAACTTATCTATAAAGCAACAATATAAATATGTAAAAGAAGCAGTCATTAAAACACCTCCGTGTAATCAAAAGACAATCTTTTATCTATGCAATTAAATGGGAAAGTAAAAACAATCAAGATAATTTAGGTTGCTATGGTAATTAGATAAAGATTGTCTACATGATAAAGGGCCCAACAGGCTTAATGAAACAATGTGTTTGACATTGTAAAATCTCCCATCATTAGCATTTTAATAGGCCCTGCATTATGTCAACTGGTACCTAACGAATGTAATTACTGTAAATTTTCCACAAATACATATAAAATACCATCAAATACGACTTCAAAGTAAACGAAAAATCAAGAATTGTATCTACAAATCTATCTGTTTGTCTGTAAAAAAAGGACCTCATTGTACCTCTAACAAAACCAAAGTACAGCCAGCTTAATAGCTCGAAAAACTGAATATTGGTATGCTTAATGAGCCTCTTGAATTTGAAGAGACAGACCTTTC